ACTGAGAGATCTTCAGCTAAGCTCCCATAAATGAAAGAAAATGATATTTTTACTATAACACTGTGTGACCTCAGGACTCCCTTAGATCAGGAGAACAATGGCCCTCCTGGCTCTGCCTTTATATCAAAGTGGGGCTTCTGCAACTCAGCTTTTATTTTGGGTGTGTTTGTGTGTGTGTACTTGGTATCTGTGTCCAAATCCTGTTCTCTCTTCCTAGTTTTGCTGAAAGTGAGGCATGTGAATGTGAGCGAATAAGATATATATACACATACATACATATATATATATATATAAAATTGTCTATTGTTATTTCTTTAAACTGAAGTGATATTTGGGAACTGGAAAAAAAAAAATCCCTGAAAATAGCCAAGATGATTGGGTTTTGCATGAACTTTTAGAGGAAGAATTTGCATTTCTCTTTCTGTGCCTTTGAGATGTAAATGGTCTACCTGGGCCCTCAAGGAAAAAATGTTTTTTTTTAAACTCAGGCAGAAAACTGTGAGATGTCTGGTTCAGTCTGTCTTTACGTAAAAATTAACATGTAAAAGGGCTCCATTTAATTGACTTAAAGTAAGCACTTATAAATTAAATATTTTTAAGTATAAACGAAGCTAGACAACAAATTTCAGGCTCATGTGATCTAGGAAATAGTCAATATTAAATTAGAATCTGATAGTAAAGCTAGCTTAATCTTGTTGGTATAATCAACACAGACATGTCTTCATTGTACCTCAGTTTACTGAGGGTCAATGGGTTCATGTTTCTGTTGCAAATTTTGTCAAGAAGAAAAAAAAATTCAATTAACTTGTATGACAAAATTCTTATAAGCAGATTAAATGCAAATAACATAAGAGCTTTTGGGTGAACTCTTTGGAAATAATTCTGTTTTAGGAACGTCTACTTAAAAATGATCTCTCCAGATATTTGGAAACTTGAAACATTAGAGTTGTACTAACTTAAGTTAAATCATAAAAGTTGTTGAATAGCTAGGTCATTCCCAAACAAAATAAGACACTGAAACATTATTTACTGAACATTGGCTTCCCTTTACAGATAAACTAAAGGTGTTTAAGACTATTATTAAATATGTTTGGTGCCACACTGCAATATATTCTATAAAAAGCATGTTTTTAGAAATTATTGGTACTTATGTTTGCCAGTCTACAGAATGCTAATGTAAAAGACAGCTCATAATTGCTTACTTCTTGATTTTCACTAGAAATGAATGTTTTTAAGAGTTGAGGATTCTAATTTAAGTATGTCATTAAAGCTGCTAAAAATAATAAAGGAATCGTTTCAGTAAACATTAGGAAAGTAGGATATATGTTTTGAGCGAAAAATATGAGGAATAGAAGGGCATTCTGTTAAGGGAAAGGTTTGTAGAAAGGGACCCCTGAAAAGTTTTGTGCATGATCAGGCTGATATTAAACTTAAGTAAACGGTACATGGATTTTGTTATTAAAAGAAGACTGGTGTGGGACTCGATTTGCTTCCTCTCTGTTAGGAGATCAGGTTTACTTGCTTGTGATGACAGATGCTTCTGATAACAGATTGTGTGAAACTTCTTGATGTTGTTGACAAACTTCCTATCAAATTCTAATCAAAATTCTTTCGACTTCAGCTAACTTTGGGAGGCTTCAGAGGACCCCTGAGACATCTCAGAGAAAAATATTAAACCAACTAGGATTTGGTTGGTATGTTAAGTTACACGGCATTGTCAAATGAGTGAGAAGCCACCTCAGATTTTATGGTATGAATAAATGTTATTCACATAGACATTCTGGAAATTATATAAGGTTTCTGAAATTTAGACACGTCCTTGTATAATGCTATCAGTCATGATTCTAGTTGTTTTGGTCATAATTCTAGTTCCGGTCTAGTTATCTTAAAATATTGTATGCCACAGCAACTTGATTAAGCTTCTTTGTCAAAAAAAGTTATAACCAGATCTTTAACCTTGACTTTTTGAGTCTTGTGTTATTCAGAGAGTTAAGCTGGGTCTTTGCAAAACTGCTTCATCTTCAGTAAGACTCAAAGGTGGCCACTGGGGGCATGATTTCAGACATGTTCTTGTATCGTTGAGAACTCGAATTTTCTGTCCCTCCTCCAACTACTTCTAATTGGGTCTGTTGGCACCAAAAGGGTGGACTAAAGGACTTGGATCTTAATCATGCAAGACGCGGATCCAGGACTTGAAACTCAGGAAGATTTTCGATTAGTTGTCTGTCCCCCAGATTGAGGCAGGGCGATGCCCCATTTCAGCAGGAAGTAGCCAGAGTGGTTGTCACTCCACTCCCTGAAGGATTTGGGGAAGAATGAAATAGGATTGGAGATCAAAACCAGGTTCCCCCAAAACCGAGTTCCTCTGCTGAGTTTATGGGTAACCTCTCTGTTTAAAACATTATTCCCTTTCTTGTCCAACACCTCTTCTCCTCAGGACTGAGGAGTATCAAAGAAAAAGGGGGGGAATTGTAACCAGGTGGGACCCCGTGGGGTCTTCGAGGGTCAGACCCCCTCCCCCATATCCTCTGCTGCAGCTCCTCCCTGAAGGATCCAGATAATAGTATCTCCTGTATATTTCCTGAGTTTTTCAGATGCTAAAAAAACCACCACCAAAGGGAAAAAGATTAACTGCTTGATGATCAAGAGCACATGGCCTCAGACCTTCTGGCACCTAGGGATTGACAGTGTTGATCGCCCTGTTTCCTCACCATAAATCAATCAGAGACATGTGCACAGCTAATCACGTACCTGCGACCCCGCCCTCCCCCTCTCCCTCCCTCTCACCTGGACTTTAAGTATGCTTTGCTGAAACCCTTCTGGGAGTTCAGGGTTTTCTTAGGCATGAGCCACCCCGTCCTCTTTGCTTGGCCCTGCAATAAACCTTTCTCTCCTGCAAACTCTTAATATTTCAGTTTGTTTGGCCTCAGGGTGCGGAGGGCACACGAACTTGCCTTCTGTCATAATAACTGAGATATCTAAAAAGACGGAGTTTTAGGACTACTTTGAGTGAGGAACAGAAACTATGGCACAAATGGAAAAAGTCCAGGTGGCGAGTGAAAATGAGAAGAAAACATTGAAAGAGGTATAATCACCCTAAAAATCCTAAAAATCCAGGAGAAACTGGAAGAAGCAACCTACCTTGTTTGAGGGGGCACCTTGCTTTCGCTTCTGAGTGTCGATACGTTGAATTTTGTGAAAAAATGATTATAAAAGTGACAGGAGGGATTTAAACTAGGTTCAGAATGACCAGAGGGAGAGAGCGTCTTGGCAGCAGCCGCTAATATTTACCAGACTTGAGAAGCACATAGGGAGAACGGGCCATCTGGACAACAGTTCCATTTGTCGAGTCAAGAAGTGACCAAAACACATGGTGGCATCTTCTCGGTGGGAGTAGAGAGGGAGGCTCTGCGAATCCAGAGTTTGTCAGAGAGCCAGGCTGTGGAGACCATCTCAGGCTGCAAGTCTTGTGGGGTGAGAGATTTCAGCACTGATGGTGGCTTTAAGGAAAAGAATCAAAAATAAGATTCGCGGCCAAGAGGAGAGACAACTTAATTTGGGGTTAGTCTAGGGAGTTGAGGTGAATACCAGCGTGTGCGTGTATACCCGCATACACACTCATCCAACACTTCGCTTTTAAAGAAAAGCAGGGAAAGGAAAGAAATGGTCCCAGAACGAATTTAAAAATGCCTTCTCTTAGGTGTGGGCACTCCACTGGGGACTTTCCAGAGGAGGGTATGTTTCCTTATTTTGCCCACCAGGTCTCCTGTTAAGTAGCTTTTATTAATTTCACCCAAGATAAGGAAACTGAGGTGCTGGGAAGCTGACTGGCACTTGAACTCAAGCCACCTGCTTACTTTGAAAGCCCCGGTTCTGTTCTCCATGCTAGAATACCAGGAAATCTTTGAACATATTATACAAACCTATTAAAATGGGCAGGGGTCTGTATGTGGGTAGCATGTCATGTGAGGACAAGGTTGGACATCAAAAGGGGAATGAAGAAAGTCATCATTACTCATCTAGCGTCTATGTGTCTGGGAAGCAGCCCACTGACTACGGGGTGAACAGGTATTTGAGGGTCAGAGCACGTGGCGCGCGCAGTCACTGGGAGGCAAATGGAGAGCCAGGTTTGGGGCTGGTGAAGATTTACTTTTAGAGAGAGCTGTGTCCTGTATGGTAAGGACATAGCTTGGAAGATCTGTCCGTGATCAGAGGCAGGTGTGGTCAAGGCATCCAACAGGGTCAGGGAGCCAGATTTGAAAAACAGAACAGAAATGTTGGCCAGAAACATTTCTGGTTTAGGAAAAGGAAGCTTCCAGGAGAGAAGGGAAAAAGAAAAGAAGCCCCACAGGGGACCTGACAGCGTTTGGAGGGAGGATGTGGAGAAATAACGCCATCAAGGAAAGCCACTGCTGTTTAGTGCAGAGCAGAAGGGGTCTGGCAGCGGAGTCAGGGGCAGCGAGCAAAGCTGCCCGGTGGAGAGAAGGCTCCTAAGTGGCAGGGTGCGCGGTAAATGGGAACCACCCTCTTCTCTATTTGAGCACTGCTCAGATTCACCCTGGAACTCTCGTCCACACCTCCCCCCATATGGAGACGCTAGAGAGGGCTGGAGAGCCTGAGATGTTTGAAGTTACACGAAATCACTTCCATATGGAAAAGTTAGAAGAATAAATTATTTAAACTTAATAAGAGACATCAGAGGGGGAACTTTGGCAACCGTTTTCGGGAATATGAAGGTTTATGAAATAAAGCGTGTTGACAGCACTGGCTACATCCATTACGGAGACCAGAGAGAAAGGGCCAAGCCTCATGTGACATTGAGCTTGATCGCACAAAAGGAGGAGGCCCCTCTCAGTGACAGAGTTCCCATTTGAAAGGAAGCTACGGAAACTCACTCTGTGGAGAACGTTGTTGTACGAACTGTTCAGGCAGGAAATGTTTTTAGCTCGCTTGGAGTCTACATGGAAGTTTTAATAATTTCTCTTCTTCGACTTCTGTAGATTTTGGCCGGGTTGAGAAGGCGAAAAGCCCGTGCAACTACATTTAGAAAGAAGGTACTTAGAGTAAGTGAGTTCCGCTCATTGAGAATTGGTAATTACCAGAAATCCCAAAGTGGAGTCTGTTCACGCAGGGTCTCTCTGCAAATTCATATGAATATTATCTTTTTGCGTGTGCCAAGTAGGACAGAGCTTGCTGTTCTTAACCCAACCTACAGGGCCCCCAAGCTTCACCTTCAACTCTCATGGCTTATTTGTCTCTCACGATGGCCATTTTTCAGAAGATCTATTTTGCGGACACAGAAAAATCATGAGTAACCGCCAACACTTTAAGTAAGAGCATGTATCTATGTTAAGATATTTATGTTCTGTTGTTTACATCTTTTACATTTTTTATAATTAAAAAACATAAGGTTTATTTCTTCTTCCATTATAAGAGTATTGCATATTCCTTAAACAATCCATAATGATTCAAGTCAGGATAATGATTAGTTTGTGGGGCATCAGTGGCTGAGAAGGGGGATGAGCGAACTTGCTGTTGGAAGATGGAATAGATCTGGATGGTGGTCACTTGTGTGTAAACATATTTAAATATCCATTGAGTTGTATCCTTGAGATTTGTGTACATTATTCAAGTTAGAGCTCATTAAAAATAAGCAATACTTCTTATTTTTCTTATAAAATATTTTTAAAATGTAGAAAGGTAGAAAGAAAAAGTCATTTATTACTCAGAGAAAACCATTGCTAACCTGGTGGACTATTTCAGTTGTTTTTTTTTTCAATGTATATTCTTTACAAGTTGAGATTAAAATCCATATAAAATTTAGATTCCTTTCTTCCACATATAAACTCTTGAAAAATACCATTTTCCCCAGAGATATTAGAGTTGATTTGAGGTTACCCACAGATAGAGGGCAAATAGTGGCTGCACAACGTGTGTGAGGCACATGTAGATTTGGGTGAGGGTACAGGGAGGTGGTGTGTTTGACAACTTTAGGCTGGTAAGTGGAAGTTAATTTTGGAAGGTCTAGATTCTGGAAGACCTAATGAACAATTCAAAAGAGTTGAAGCTTTCTAAGTGATGCTTGCAGTATAGCTAAATCTAGAACATACCACATTAAGAGACAGAAATGAGGATCTTTACCTTAGAACTTCTCACTGGTGTGTCACGAATGGGTTACAAGTGGGTTGAGATTTGTATTTCCTAGCCCTTCTGGGTATCTAGTTGAGACTTGAAGGCTGGAGTCCTTGGACCAGAAACAGATTTCTCCGTTTACCCCAAGTAATGTTCTCTGTGTGTGTCACAAGGTAAACGTGGTTGGGAAGCCCAGCCCATTTGACAAGCTGGCTCACCTACCAAACCCATGCTTGCAGCATAAGCTTGAAATACACCACTGAGTCAGCCCATACTCCAAGTGAAGAATGCAAGGTGTTCTGTGGCTGGGAATTCATAAATTCTGCTGGGAATTTATAAATCTCCAGTTAGGTAATAATAGCACAGTAAGAATTCCTTCCACATCTCATCTCAATTTGTCCTGACAAGAACTTTTAAGGTGGATGGTATGAATTTATAAACAAAGGTCAGAGAAATGAGTGGTTACGCCACCATCACATAACTAGGAGGTGACAGAGTTGGGGTCCAAACCCAGATTTTTCTATCTGTGGTGTTTTTATATCAAAATGGGCTCTAATCTCCTCCTTTTCCAAACCAAATTTCCACATGGGTTTTAATCCTATCCCTCTTTGCAAACCAAATTTTGCAGGACTGTAATATATAAAGGAGAAAAACATGGAGCTACTGTGGTTGAAAAGGGAGTGGGGAGCCCAGAGTTTTTTTTAGCATAACCTGAGCTCATCCTTCTGGACACCTCTGAGTCACTTCTGCGGCCCCCAGAACTCAAGGGGCTAGTTTGAAAATGCTACACTCTACCATATTGTTTCATCAGGGTTACGCGTGGCAGTCCTTGATCACTGAAAAACTAAATGTCACTTTTTATGTCATTAGTTTTCAGTTTTTGAAGTTTTAATTTTGGTTTATCTCTTGGTCAGTGGGTCAATTGTAGTTTGTCTTTCCTCGTGGGAAGATGGGGGCTATATTTTCCTGAGTTTGTACATATCTGATACTGTCTTTGGGTTCCTGTTATATAAAAACAATAGCTTGGCTGGGTGTAAAAATTCATGTTCACCAACTTTCAACCTGAGAATTTTCTAGATGTTGCTCCATTGTCTTGCATCTAGCATTACAAATTAATTTTTATTTTCTAGTTAATTTTTTTTAGTCCAGATTTTGATAGAATGCTTTTATTTATTTTTGTGATTAAAAAATACAACTGTAAGTTTAAATACGGTTGTTTATTCATGACTTTGCTTGTGACATGGTGACTCCTTCAGTATTTGTCTTTTCTCAGGTTCAAGACATTTTCTATAACTCTGTCTTCATTTATTTCTGTAGTTTCAAGAGTTATAGCCTTTTACTTAAGGATTTTTAGCTCTTATAGATTGAGAATAAAGGTCAAACCTATCACTTTTCTTATAATTCTCATCTTTATGGAATTTTCTCCCAAATTCCAGAGAGTGTATCAATTTTGTCCTCCACGTTATTTGCCCAATTTTCTGTTTTAAACCTGCTTTGTATTGTTTCCAGCACACATTTTAATTTTGCTTTTGCATTTTTTCTTGCAAATGTCCTTTCCTTCCCTGTGTTCATTTTCATCTTGTTCTGATTTCTTGTCATCTCAGTCTTCCTTCTTTCCTTCATGATTTCTTTGGTTTCTATTACATGGCCCTGTCTTTAAACATTTTCTTGAGAGTAAAATCCATTTCTTCTTTGACTACGTGTGCGTGAATATTCTATTGTCTTTATCTATTCAGGCATCAGAGCTAACTGTGGAGGAAGTTGGGAAAAAAAGAAAGAAGCAAAAGAGGGGTCATCATTAGGCAGAATTGGATAAACAAAAAACAGAAATATGATACAACCACAAGAAAGTATTCAGTGCAATACCTAATACATAGAAGATGCTCAATAAATTATTTTTCACATGATTTTTTTCATATACAATCTTATTTGGCAACTTAAGACATTATCATTCCTGATTTTAAAATGCAGTTTAGAGAGGTTAATTGATTTTCTCCTGTTTGTGATGCTAGTTGATGTTAGAGCTGAATCTCTCACCTCTCAGTAATGTAAAGACATCCTCTGAGACCTATAAATTGTCTGGAGATGATGTAGTTTAGTGTCTTCATTTTCCATATGAAGAAACAAGCCTAGAGGGAAAGACTATTGTTACAGTTTTATCACTCATTACTAATAGTGTCCAGACTGGGACTTACTGCCCCACAGATAAACTTTTCTTTCCTAGTTGCTGAACTCTTACAGAAAA